TTCCCAGCAACCAGAAATACGATTCCAAATGGGAAGTACCTGCATGTACAAAGAGACTGGAGTGTTAAAACAAAATATATTTATAATTTGCTTATTGTAGGTGCATGCACTTTTAAATGCATTACTGACGGACTAAATCAGCTTCTCAGTTGGCCTCTGACTCTCGTACACCAGAACACCTTTCCACTGCCAACCTCATTTAGTAGAATGAGGAGGCTTAGAGCTCCTTTTAAACTATTACACTGACGTATTTTAGTGTGTATTAAAGAGACAGCTGGCTCTTCATTTGTTTTGGTCTGGGATTATGCTTTATTTGCCAGTCACTTGCTGCTTTCACAGGTTTGCATGACAAAACATGTGATGACTGTCCTTGTAGTTATGTAGTATGTCTAATAGTGAACATTTCTGTAATAGTTGACATTACAAATCTCTCACAATCCACATCTACTCACCACATAGCAGCATTGATGATCTTCATGACACATTCATTGATGCAAAGACACACATTTACTAGAGGTAAACCTCTGGATCCCATTCTACCAAGCAGAAGACCTGGGGGAAAAAAATATTTTAACTAAGTTATTAACTTGTATAACTTTTATTTAGCAAGGACTAAAGAACAAAATTCAGCTTTGCCATCACAGGATTAATAAATTAATTTAAAAAAATATATTAAAATAGAAAACAGCTTTTTAAAACTAATAATATTTACATTAAAAAAAATCTAATAAAGGATATTTTTTATCAAATACACACACCCTTGTTGAGCATAAGAGACTTATTTACAAATGCAAGTTTGCTAGTTTGATTGGTGAACTCCTTGACCACAACCCCAAATCAACAGTAACCAGCATAATCTGATCTAAGCTGATCTTTTCAGCAGGGTTATAGTGTAATACAAGACAGTTCTCTACTATACACACCCATAGTGGCAGAGAAAATGACGATTCCTAGCACGTTCATCCCATTGCTTTTCCCTGGTACAATCTTGTAGTGGATTTCAGGAGGAGGAGTGAGTTCAAGAAACACTGGGTGACCCATCTTGGGGTTTTCATAGTCTGGCATGATGTACACAAAGTTGGCTTGTGATGATTTTTCGCTGTTTTTAAAATTGGGCACAAGCTCTGTTTTATACTGAAACAGAAGAGCACAGATGGACATGGATTAGATACAAAACACTGTAGATGATTCATTCCTCTGTTCTTCATGTGTTTCTCTCACCTGCTGAAATGTGGCTTCAATCAGATTGGATGGAATCATGTTCCTGTTGGAAAAACACACAAAACCTGTCATACATAAGGCCACAGATTTAAATACAGTGTATACTATATAGAGTATAGTGTGTACTATTAGACTGTTTTCTGCGGCCAACACATGCCAAAAATTACACATTGTTTGTTTTAGAATCACTTGATTTGAGGTATTGTACAAGGTTGTGTCACGGCCTGCTAAATAAAATAATTTAAAAAAAAGCTGGTATGATTTATCTCAGCCTGAAGACTTGGAGGACAGAGGCTATCGGCTAATGCTTTATTTATAAAGTACCAATTCTACTGGCGTGTCCCTGACTACAATCCAATTAAATCTGGTCAGGAGCTTAGGAGCATCTTTCGCACTCGGGAAAAGCCGTGTCATTCTCTAAATATACCTAATTCCAATCCTTCTGTCCAGTGACAAGATAGAGCAAAAGGGAAGCTTAAGCCTCGAAAGCTGGACTACAGCTCGAAATCGGTTATGTAAGTTTAAGGCGTTTCTTAGACTGATCAACAAAAATGAAATGCATTGCTTACAGTTTGTTTTTTGAATGGGATAGTCAATAAAATAAATAAAATACAGATGTGTTTTATACAAGACATAAAACATTTTATATGTAACTGAGAGAAAAGGTGAAATTTTAAATGCTAGTTTGCTGAAACAATGTCTAAACAGTTGTTTGTCTATTGGTTAACACTATTTTCACTATATTTCTGCCTAAGTGAGGTGGAAAAGGAAGACAATGAGCAAGTAGTTACATTCTAATTTAACATTATAAAGACAAACACTGATGAATCGCAATATGATCAAGAAAGAAACATTAAGAATGAAATGAACAAATTAAGAACGTAAATGGAATCTATTTTGGTTTCACATTGACTTTAAAGAAAAGACTTTAAAGCTTGTTTGTCTACATTTTTGTCCAACTCCACACTTTAACCATACTCTATTCAAGCAGAAAAGAACTAAACTTTCATCCTTAGTCATCCTTAGTAAGGGGGAAAAGGGAATGTTTTTTAACAATATTTTCTCTACATTTTTTTCAAACACCACACTTCAACTAAGTCCCTTTTAAGGTAAGCCAGTCCACTTGACGGCCATCTTGGCAATGACCCTATAGACACATATTGGACTGACTTACTTTAAAAGGCACTTGGTTGAAGTGTGGTATTCGAAAAAATGTAAAAAAAAAATTTTGTTAAAAACGCTCACTAAGGAAGACTAAGGATGAAAGTACAGTTCTTTTCTGCTTGAATAGAGAAACTAACATAAATAACACATTTGAAATAACCAATATATCTGACAGAAAATGTTGAAACTGTAGTTTTCAGGTTTCTCTAGCTAATGTGTATTTGCATTTGCAGAGCAATGAAACAAAATGCCACCTATATACCAATAAGCTTATTGGCTGTTTTAACTGAAGGGCGGGACTTCCTTTCCGACAGCTGCCATATCCTATTCATATTTCTACAAGTGGTCTGTCTCCTCTCCCTTATACTGTTTCTGCCAAAAACTGAGAGGTAGGTTTTGTTATTATTGTGAAGTTACCTGATCAAATCAAGCAGGGCATCGGCAGACGTCATCACTGGCCCTCCTGAGGCTTTATGGCCCTCTTTTTCAGTGCCGGTTCCGGGATGAATGATCAGTACCAGAATAATCCCCACGATTACAGCAATGAAGGTAGTCCACAGGTAATATGTGATGGTGAGAAGGCCCAGGGGTCCACTGGCCTTGGTGTCCATAGCAGACAAGCCAGACATTAAACTGTAAGGAAAGTGTTGGCGTTTCAATCATTATTATAAATATCACATCAAATATCTCACATATAACTACCTCCCCTAAATGCAGACACTTTTCTTTTTAATTTTAATAGGGGCTGACTGCAACTCATCTCCATATTGGTTTCAAGTAACTCTCATAGTGTTTTTTTTTTCTTCTTCTAAATTTTAGACTCTATATTCCTTTTATAACAATCAACTATCCCACTATTAATTGAAAAAGATTTAAAACTTCAGAAATGAAGCATTTCTCATGATGGAACATTTTTTTCTGATGGAAGATATTTTGTTAGGTTTTCAAAAATGTCCATTTTTTTCAGTCCGTACGTTTGGTCTCAGGAATGCTGACATCTTGAATGAAAGTGAAGAACTAAAAAGCAGTGATATGGTGTGTAGTTACCTGGATGTGATGAGAGGAAGAATCAACATTTTTAGCATTCTCATTAGAAGTTCTCCAGGAAAAGAAAAGTAGATTTTTGCCTGAGGGAAAAGAGAAAACATGGCTTTTAGTGACATTGCTATTAAACGATTTAAATTCATTTCAAACATTTAAACTCTACTAGAATTAATTACTTTCAATATTTACTATTTCTGTAATATCCCTGGAGAATTACGTCAGTTGACTTTAAGTAATGCGTGTTTCTCCTTAGTTGACCTTGAAAGCTGTTTGGAGTTTTATTTGTGGGTAACAAAAGCCAGATGTCACATCATCAAAAAGCAGGACTAAGACCTAGTTTTGAGTACATATGCCACATAGGCTGGAAAATATATTGTGTATATGTGATATGTTGATCAGGCTTCAAGAGCAAAGGTCATCAAAAACATCTTAAAATTAAAGGAGCGTTCTAGCTTCTAAAGAAGCAAAGTGCTATTGATAGCACATGTGGTAAAAAATTCTTGTTATTAATTATTCTTTACAAAATGTTGTTACACTGTGTTATTTGTTTTGTAAAGTTTTCTATATCGTCCATTCAGCAACTGCACTACTGTTCAAGGCAACTGCACTTCTGGTTATGAATTTCTGATGTACTTCTTCTTATGGTACTCTTGAGTATATTGTGAAAAATTGGATATAACTTTGCACACACAAGGTTAATACGTGATTTTAATCATATAAGACATGAATAATATTAAGGTTTTGTGGCTACAGTTTGTATTTGCCCTGGTGCACTGCTTTGTGCCATAGATTTTCATTGTAAGTGCATTACTGTAAACTCAGCTTTTTCATTATTTAGTGATGAGTCTAAATTATTGTCTGTGCAAATCAACATGCCAATAGAGTTTGACTTGTTTTGAATCCGGACCATTTCTTTATTCAATTACTATAATGACTGTACTTAATGTTAAGTTGCTAGCGCATTCATTTTTAAAAGCCACACCCAATTCATTTTTTAAATGAGCAACCTTTTAACCTGTTCTAAGGATAAAAAACAAATGCATTCTTTTGTCCCAAAAAACTATTTAAAATAACACCAGTCCACTGCTGATGTTAGGACTCAAAACAGATTCTTCAATAACAAATTTGAAGCTTTATGTTCCACATTACCTGTGTTGACAAGTTCAAGCTTCTTAATGTGAATCCCACTACACAACCCGACATCACTGCTAACAGTGATAAGGTGAGCAAGCCGTTCCTTCTGCAGTAGTCCTTTACCCATACACGAAACTTTGGAGATACTGAGTTCTTGATAAGGTTCTTGAAATATTCCACCATATTTCTCAAGGGGTTCACAGGAGGGGAATGGCACTGGGAAGATGCCGGCCTTGAGCTGCTCCGGTTCTCATCCATGCTAAGATCTGTGTGGGCAGGAAGCCTTTCTGTGTAAACCTTTTCTAACAACAGATTAAGCAATCGAGTATAGATCCAAACCACTGCCTTCACGACAGTGCAGTCAGAGGCGATTACAAGGAATAAGGGTATTAAAAGAACCTAGTCAGAGTCTGGAGGCCATTGACTGTGGAAAGATAAAGTGCTGAAGCACTAATCCTGGAACACGAGGCCAAGGTCAGTGTGGGGTCAGTTTCAAAACAATATGAGTTTAATATAAATCATGGTTTATTGTAAAACAAAATGCTTACATTGCAAGAATAATGAAAGTATGACATGGCTATCTGGGGAAGAATGAGTTGGGAATATGACATGCCAGGCTCAAATTCACAAGAGCAGCTGAACATCTGGAACCTATGCACTAACCACTAGACCACAGCTCCAATTAGTTTTTGAGTTTAAAATTATATTAAACATAAACCAAAGCATAGTTTTATGCAATCAAATCAGATGTATGTAATCCGTTAAAAAAAAAAGTTAGTATGTAATACCTTGGTCCATCTAGCAACACTAGAGAATCTTGGAAAAATGTATGTACTGCATGAGATGACAATTCATGTAATTTTAATAAAGCCAAAATTAAATCATTTCCTCCAAATGTATAGTTCTAAACTCTAAACTAAAGTGGGCTTGATAGGAAAAAAAATATTAAAGCTCAGACTTAGAATCTATGATATGAGATACTCTTCTAGATAAAAAAAACAAAACTATATATAATTAAACCACATAAGGTAGAGGAGCAGTTCAGAAGAGTGAGTTAAATGCATTAAAATACTACCAATTTGTCCTTTTCCTACAGCACTTCTAAGTCACATGGAAAAAGGATGTTCTTTAGTTTTGACAGCTTTTTATGGCTGTACTACTTTCACTCAGAACATATGGGGTGGAGGCTATTCAGAGATAAAGGACATCACCCTTATTAGTTTGAACGTCATGCCTTAATGGGATTTCTGCCGCTGCACTCTACAGGCATTTCCAACATCGGCGTGTACAGCGGGTATTGATTTAATTACCAGACAGTATTGGTAGGTCTCCAGTCCATGAAATGAAGGTTTGTTTGGGCTCTGAAAGGCAGAAGTAACGTGGTTTTTAATATGAATGGAAAATAAGATATGATAGACTATATGTCACGGTGCGTGCGGGGAGATGAAGCGAGGACTCAAATGCAGGAGAAATGGTTGTTTATTTTAATAATAAAAATGAAACAAAAACAAACTCAAACCACCCCGAAGGGGAAAAACAGACAGGCAGGCCTAAAGCGGCACACATGCAGACACGAAACACACACAATGAGAAATGACAGATCAGCACATGATGACAGACACCAGGAGAATAAATAGGAACCAAACGAGGAGGCTAACGAGGGAGACACAGGTGGAGCAACTTAAACTATAACGAGGTAACAAGATGGGAGGGGCAAGACAATAGACAGGCGAGAGCACATGGCAACAGACAAACACAACACAAGCCATGTGCTCACAGAACAGTCATCTGGTGGCCCTCCTGGGCACACCTTCTGAAGACTGTGACATAACCCCCTCCTTAAGGAGCGGATTCCAGACGCTCCACCAAGAGCAATCCCAGAGGGAGGCGGAACGGAGGTGGATCAGGGGGAGGGGTGGTGGGCCAGGCCCGTGTAGTGGAAGAGGCCCTGGGGATAGAGGTAAACCTCCTGGGCACACCCTCTGAAGACTGTGACACTATAGAACAAGTAAATAGTAATTCCAAGTTGATTTCTTAATTTGTATCAATTTAAAAAGGCTTTATGCAAAATCACTCATGATCAATCGTGATTCAACAATCATGACCTCAACACTGTGTACTACAGTGTTACAAACTATCAGCTGATCATTTTAAGTAAAGGAACAAATGTATCCTTAGATAACATAAGGCACAAGAAAAGAAAGACCCAAATGTGATAACACAACTAACAATAATGGTATAAATAAAAATGCAAACAGTTATATTATTTATTCATGCCCCAGTGCATGCTAAGACTCCTACAAAGAAACAGAATTAACAGTTGCAAAACAGACTACTAGACTCTAAGACCTAAAAAAAACCAAAATACTTTTTTTAGACTTTTTATTTAAATAGTTTTTTTTAATGATTTTTTAAATTTTATGCCTTATATTTGATAGTGCAACGGGTGAAGACATGAGTGAGCACCTGCATGTGAGTTGAGTGAGTTTCGCCATATACATATATATATATATATATATTAGCCGGTCTGTAAAACATTATTTTACAGAGTTAATGGTTTTTTAAGTATAGGTCTATTTGCACTCAAAACTGCATTAATCCAACCCACCTGCTTGTTCCAAAAAAAACCCCCTCAAAACAAAAACACACACATTATACTAAATCAGAATACAAAATAACAAATACCCCCCCATGCTGGGAAGTAGGCCTAAATATTTGTATTCAAATAAATTTCAGTATTCATTTTACAGTGTGTAGATTATTACATGTAGTCCCACTACATGTGGATTTAGAGTAGATTTGAGAGGCTGGAATTTCTCCACATGTAACGAAGACCATCACAGGTGACAACAGCGGTGTCTCAGGTGCGATCAAACACTAATCCATTTACTAGGAGCAGATATATTCACTGACTGCATCGTCAACCTAAATAACCACTGCGACTGCTTTGACGTCACACCATAAAGCACAGGAATGGACAGACACTGAAAAATCATTAGTCAGTGAGTGACTGTGCACGACTCGATTAAATAGGAGAAGGACAACTCAGAGTGTATGTAAACACACGTTATGGTAGTAGTAGGTACTAGTCAAAAACTCTATAGGCTTTACAGACAATGATGTACACATTTGCTCTAAATCTATTCAGTATAAGATGTACAGAGATATTAAACATACAGCAATGAGGCACAGATTCACACAGTACGGCCAATGGCGGTGCTAATGATCGTTAAAAAGTCTTCCGCAATTCTGTGAAAAGAGGATTAAGTCCTCTGGACAATTGGCACATCCTCTGTCTGCAGGCACAACATGGCATTGTTATCCATTGTAATTTGGTCTGATGACTTTTAAGAGTTAGGGTATGCCTGTCCCATTTAGTGACATTGCTGGCATTGTGAGCAGTCAGGAGATGTACAGATACGTGATAGTCTCATTTAACCCAGACACCCAACTATTAAAGATCATCTAAATTTAGGTGTGTGTGTGTGTGTGTGTACGTACCAGAGGTGTTTTAATACTGGTCGGAGTATTACATTGATTAATCCTGGCCTGACCACAACAAAAAGTGCAACAGCTTAAAAAAAAACAAACAAAAAAACATTTCCAGCAAAGAATCAGTACAGTATATCCTGTGTATGGAAATTTTTAATAAGAATAATTACAGAAAGGACAAAAAAAAAAGAAAGAAAGAAAGAAAATCAAACCTGAATATGTGTATGACTAAATTATTTACATTAAATCACAATAAATCTGTTAAATTCTTCATGCATGTCTCTCTATTTTACAGAACAATGGTGCTAGCTGCATAAATGGCTTAAGAGATTAATATCTGGATTTCATATTACTACATCCTAATTCAACACAAAAGCTTTCAGTGCAGCTAAAACCCATGATGATAATCTACCCCAAAGGTATTAGTATAATTTTCTTAGCGGATATAATCTTATTGGCAGATGAAATCTGTTTTTCGGCATATATGTGGATATCTATCCTTGACTCATGAACATGAGTCATTCTGCAATAATATTGATCTAGAATATAGAAATCCAAAATACAGAATTTTGTTTTTAGTATCCAATCTTTAAAAAAAAAACAAATGCTGGGTGACTCATATTCTTAATAAGACTTTAAATTATATTACAAAGATGTTTAGTTAGATTTGCAATAATATTGATCTAGAATATAGAAATCCAAAATACAGAATTTTGTTTTTAGTATCCAATCTTTTAAAAAAAAACAAATGCTGGGTGACTCATATTCTTAATAAGACTTTAAATTATATTACAAAGATGTTTAGTTAGATGTTGACGTTTGATCAGATCTACTATGATAGTATGATGGCAAATGAAAGCATTTTCCGAATGACACATAATTATAGGCTACTATTGTGGCAATTATTAATGGCTGTTACAATTTATTGTTATTTAAAGGGCAATCAATCATGAAACCTCTCATGTGTGTCATTTTAGGCCTACCTGATGTCCTGTCTTCGCTGAACTAATTTAATAAATGAACGTGTAGACGTTCAGTCAAAACATTTATGCAGCACCTAAAAGAGCAAACATTGTTAACGTACTTATTTTAACATACAACACTGTTAAAATGAGACCAACACAGACAGCTGGACATTGTCAACCAAGAGGAGAGCGCCCTCCCCTGGCAAACTTTAAAAATGCCAGATGTGTTTGGAATAAACAGCTAAACCAAGTGCATACATTTTATGAAACCCAGTTAAAAGGTGTTTTAAAACTGAAGATTAGTGGCATATTGACAGATTTTTTGATATTGACATTAGGCCTATGTAAGATGCCTTAATTTTATATAGCCCAATAGCTGTTAATAGGCTAAAGATATCAACCTATCAGAGCCATATGGGTTCCCTTGGAATATCCTGTGGGTTTTTCTGATGGTGGTTTGAATTTATGAGTAAAATCAATATAATACCACAAACAAAACTCAAACGTGAATTTTGAAACAGATGCGTTTGTTCCCCCCCAAACTAGGTTTCTACGTGAGATGACATGACGACACAAGGACCAGTTATGCCGTTGTAGTCTGAGGGACCACATAGCGAAATAGCCTTTTGGATTGGCCTTAAATATTAAAAATGTAATTTAGAAATATTAATTTATTGGCATTCAGCTCATAGGCCTACAACCACGGCTGCAGTTAACGGCGTAAACGGTGAGGAAATAGTAGGAGCGCACGTTTTGTTCGTCTGGAAAGACAGGCTCTCCAACAAAGCTATCATGCTCTCAGTCAAAAGCACAACTCCCTACTCAGCATTTCAGCAGAATCATAATCACCTGTGAGGGGTGGAATCATGTGTTTGTATTGATTCTATTGGTCGCCGTAGATTTTGTGCGCAGCCGCGCAGTTGCCAGCCTGTTATGAGCAAGTGCTGTGCTGCTGTTGCTGCTGCGAGGGGACAAACTTTATGAAAGTACAGTGTTAGTTTTCTTGGTTTGGAAAACTGTTTACAATTCTGGTCTTGGTCACTACATTCGGCTATACTATAGACGAGGAAGGACAACATGTTAAATACTGTTACAGAACGCTACGAAGCGTTTTTTAAGCAGAAGAATGTGGTAACGGATTTTCTAGCGGTTTTAGAGGAAAAAACTGGAGTTAAGAAACGGTACACTGCAACAGGTATGTGACTGGTTTTCATCTTTGGTTTGGAAGCAACTTTAATGATTTAGTCAGGAATATAAGGCGTACGTTATGAATTTAAGCTGTGTTGGCAATCAGTTTAGGCTTTATTGGGTTTGCGAGAGTTTAAATGTTCTTCTTTGTAAACATTACCATCGAATATTGATTTTCTTTTCATATTGAAAAGTATGAGTTTATTTTAACACGTGACTTAAGTTACTGTCACCCATATGTAAAGGCTTGGTGAATGTTGCAAATGAGTGCAAAGTGCTCTGGGAGTCATAGGCTACTGTAAGACCAGGAAAGTCCGAGTCACTTTTCCGAAGCGGTTCTTTTTAAACTGCTGGTTCTGAACAAATCAAGAATTTGGAACATTGTTGTTTAGAAAAGATTTTAGAGAATTTTTTTATTAAAAGACAGTTCGCGGTTCATTGAGTCGATAAACTGTTGACCCTGGAACCACTTAAGCTGATTCAGTTCGCTTCGTTGAATAGTTCAGACCGGTTTTGAGAATGGGTTCACCCGATTCATCAAAGAGCTTCGAATGAAAAAGGAGTAATTTACAAATAAAACGTTACTCTGCTTTGCGTGTGCATGTGTGACAAGAACAGATGCCGTACGAACAGCCCCCACCCCCGAGGGATACCTGTCATTTCCTTGTTGCATTTACATCTATTTAGCCTATTTGTTATTGCTCTTTGTTTTAAGATAAAAAAAAATGGTTTGAAAAACATCAAACAAATGATCTATGAAGTGCCAGTTATCCGTGCAATTGTTCAACTGCATTGACTGGTTACTTGAAATGTCTAATGTGTGGTGTCTTCTACCAATAGCCACTCCCAAGGATTATTTTTAAACATGTAGTATCTGTTGCATTTACATCTATTTAGCCTATTTGTTATTGCTCTTTGTTTTAAGATAAAAAAAAAATGGTTTGAAAAACATCAAACAAATGATCTATGAAGTGCCAGTTATCCGTGCAATTGTTCAACTGCATTGACTGGTTACTTGAAATGTCTAATGTGTGGTGTCTTCTACCAATAGCCACTCCCAAGGATTATTTTTAAACATGTAGTATGTCCTCAAGTGTCCGTGCAGAATTGCAGTGGCTAGACTAAGAAAACTTGCCTTATGTTCACACATAAACAAACAGACAGCCTTTGTTTGTGCTTCTTCCATCCTGTTAAGTGTCAACACTGACACCAAACACAATGTCATCAGTACTCCTAAATGCCCTTCTTCATTTGAATAATGGCAGTGATCATGTGTCTTGTTTGTTCTGCAGGTGCAGTATCTATTGTGGCACTCTATCTGTTATTTGGATATGGTGCCTCCCTCCTCTGCAACTTGATTGGTTTCGCATACCCAGCGTATGCCTCGTAAGTTTGTGTGACATGTCAAATTTCACAAATGTCTAGTATGCATATTGGTGCAGATGCTAGACCTGGAGAACCCCGCATATGTGTTTGCACAACATTTAGGAAGCACAATAATGAGAGCAACCCACACTGACTGCCCTGTTTTCACATGTCATTCTGTTCCTCATGCAGCATCAAAGCCATTGAGAGTAACAATAAAGAAGATGACACCAAATGGCTAATCTACTGGGTGGTTTATGGACTCTTCAGTGTGGCTGAATTTTTTTCTGATATCTTCCTCTTTTGGTTTCCCTTTTACTATGCTGGGAAGGTAAGGTGTTTTGGTATCAAAATATATTTCATTTATGCTTGAGTGTATTTGCATGTATTTTGGAGATCTGTTTTGAAAACCATTCCATGTTAGCTTGCTGTTGGAGGACTGTAAATGTATTAGTATGTAGGTCATGCTGATAGGTTTGCATAGTGTATATTTAGTATGCCTGACTAACTGCCAACTCGACCAACAGCCTCATTTCAATTTTGATCCTTGTTCTAAATTTGACTGAGTGCTTTAAAGCCAATTTATACAAATGAACTAGCAGCTGACTAAGTTGAGTTGAGATCTTAAATGACATGCATGTGTTTTTTCCAATTTCAGTTTCCTGATTAAAAAGCTTTCTTAATTAGATGTTCACTATGGCATGAGAAGTCCATTAAATTTGGAGAGTTTGATGTGGATGCGCTTAGAATAGATGTTAAAGCATGTATTAATTAGCTTGACATGAGGTAGGTGAATTGTATGTCAACGTCAAGCGATTGTTTGAGCACAAAAACAGTAAATAGTTTACAGGGGCAGGATTCACAAAATTCTTAAGACAGAGATCAAGACATTTCTTGGTTAAATTCCAAGATGCTTGCATGAATGTTCCTACGTGTACTTCCTGAAAAGTTATCATATTTTCCTAAGAACATCTTAAGAATTGCCTTCTAAAGAAAAATAATGACTTTGGCGTTATCTGATTATATCATGATATTTTGAACTTTGGTGACACTTCAGAGAACTCGTGTATATCCCTAGTTGTTGTAACAAGCATTATAGTGTTATGTTGTAGTGCTTAATTATAACAATTCATGTGCAATAATCCAGTAAATTTATAAAATATCTTATCTTTATTTTATGACAAGTTGTATGTTATCCTAACCTTTTTAGAATGAATGTACAATGATTTTTAAGGAGATTCTTTTCAAGAATTTGGTTTTTCTTTAATCTGTCTTACTACTTTAGTAGTATTTTTGGGAATACAAATAATAATTTGTCTTATGCTCACCAAGGGTGTATTGTTAATTTATGTAATTTATTTAAATTGAACTTATTAAAACAGTAATATTATGTGAAATGGTGAAATATTACAATTTAAATAATTGGTTTCTATTCTATTTTAAATACTAATTTATTCCTTTGATGGCAGTGCTGAATTTCCAGCTGCCATTTACTTCAGTCTTCAGCGTCACATCATCCTGATTTGGTGCTCAAGTAACATTTCTTATTATTATAAATGTTGAAATCAGTCCTGCTGCTTAAGTTTTTTGGAAACTGATCAATTTTTTTCAGTTTTGTTTCTTGAATAGAAAGTCCAAATAGAAAATAGAAAAGAACAGCATTTATTTGAAATAGAAATCTTTAATGTTGATCATTTTAATGTGAATTTATCAAAATTAAATATGCCATGCACAACATTGTATTTTTGAACACCGTGGCAGCAAATGTGATGCTGACATGTATGTATTTCAGTGCCTGTTTCTGCTGTGGTGCATGGCTCCAGTCTCATGGAATGGCTCTCAGATCATATACACGCGTGTGGTGAGACCTTTCTTCCTCAAACATGAAGCAGCATTCGACAACGTTGTCAGTGACTTGAGTGGAAAGGCCAAGAGTGCAGCCGAGAGTATGGCAAAGGAAGGTAAACCATGACGTCCTGTCATCAGAAATCCATCATCAGTGGTTGTGTCTTATGTAATACTTGACTTATTCATCTAGTTTTGCATTGATGTTTGCATGATCCAGCTCAAGGTCTGTTTTCCTCTGCCTTTTTCCAACAGGCTTCACATTGCTGAACAGTGATAAGAATAAATGATTCGCAGGTGGAGATATGAAGAATAATTTTACCAGGAGCCTTGTGTTTACATTTGCCTTTTTATTTTTTGACTATCATAATGTTTAAGTCACTAACCCCACTGAAATTATTCTTAACTGCATCTGAGCCAGGCAGCACAGTCAGGCCAAAAATAGCCCTTAAATGTTCTTGGGATACTATTTAATTTAATTTCACATTTCTGTTTTGTATTCATCCTATATTTTAAAACTTTGAGCAATGAAAGAAATGTTGAAGTCGCTGTCTTTTAATAAATAAAACTGGAAAGATCTATGCGTAAATATTAAGCGTGTTCTCCAAATTTGTATTAGTTTTTTTTATTTTTTTGCAAAATTACTTGGAACTTTTGAGTTGTTTCTCTTAAAAGTTAAATAGGCTTATCTTTATAATGTGTCTTTTTTAGTGTATTTGTTTTAACCTTGACACATATATGATGGTGAATTTGCTGGTTCTGGAGCGCACGTGGATGATAACTAAGGTTGTGAAACTCATGCATCAATGTGCTTGTCCATGTATCATATCTCCCTTTCTGTAATGTGCTTTTAGGTTTGAACAGACCGCTGATCCTGAGCTGCAGGTATTTTCATTTGTGGCCTTGAACGTTTGAAGTTGTGGCCTGTAGGATCAGTTTTGTTTTGGAGTCTTAGGTGGCCTACTTATGGCTCCAGTGATCGAAGTAGTTGAGTGTATGTCACGTCTCGCCCTGCCTGCTGCACTGCCTGGGCTTGAGGGCTCGCCTTGTCTGTGTTCCATTTGCCTCAGATGTCAGAGCTTGGGAATGACATTATACCCGAGATAACCGTGTTTCAGTACACAAGTTGGAAAACCAAGATGTACGCATCCATAGGTAGCAGTACCAGTCAATAAAAGCACATAAAAAGTGCAGACATTGAGACATAATTGATTTGAGACACCGACAAAGTACAAATAAATGTTACTACTATATATTACGACGTTTTCACTTACTGTTGATGCACTGAGCAGCCATTTTGGTTTCTTAAAGGGAACATCGGATGAAATTTTCACTTTTTCTAGCCTTTTTTTTGTATTTAGATTAGTTTGGTTTTTTGTTGTGTCTGCCAGCGCAGAAAAGCTGAAAATAAAACACTCAGACAGTTTGTTATTGGCTGTCTGAGTCATGCACCGAAACGGGTTGCTGTGAACAGAGCTGTGTTTTGACAAGGTAAAGAGGGTGTTGTTTTTACACGACCACTGAGGAATTTTAACCAAAGTATGTTACAGACATTTCATGAAGACCCTAAAGAATCATACCAACTTGTGGGAAATGGGCATCTGATGTCCCATTTAAGTTGAGTCGGAAATCTGACTTAACGGGGCATTAAACGTACCTCCTGGGAACTCCGAAATGGAGTGCAGTGCAGATTGAGGGTACGACTCCAAGGAGATGTCATGAAAAATTGAGACTGGTAACTATAGGGGTCAGGGGCTCACTTTGTAGATTGCTGAGTAGTCGGTTCATTGTTGTATTGTGGGTTTATGTTAAAAAATTAGACCCAAAAAATGGACTCCATGAATGCAAGTAGGGCAGCTTGGAAATACAGTATATATGCAGTGGACACTGGACAGTGTAGTTTATTTTAAACTGTTGTCCAAAACACAATGCAGCCCTCTACGGACACTTTGGCAATTGAATCGCCATTGGCTAGTAAATTTTTTAGTTTACTCGCCAGACTGATTATATACAGTGGGTACGGAAAGTATTCAGACCCCCTTAAATTTTTCACTCTTTGTTATATTGCAGCCATTTGCTAAAATCATTTAAGTTAATTTTCTTGTCATTTGCACTTATATATTGTTGCTCTTTTGTTAGTTTTGACTGCTTTTATTGTCCTCATTTGTAAGTCGCTTTGGATAAAAGCGTCTGCTAAATGACTAAATGTAAATGTAAATGTAAAATCTGAGAATTTATTAGCAATTGGCTAATATTAGACATAATTTAGTCGCCCAGAGTGAAGATTTACTCGCAATGTAGAGGGTTGCAATGTTTCTGTTTATGCAGAGTTACAGTAAGAATATGAGTGAGCCTAGAGTTGTTTGACTAAACGCCACACTTTTAGCTTCACTTGGGTCTTGTTTTTTTTTATAACTTCACATGGTCCTTGTTTTTTTATATATCCAGTTTTAGCCTTGCTATGAATAACTCTGTATTAGCAGTGTAATATTAAACAGTTAGGGTATCAAAGCACTACATGGGTATATTAGAAAACACAGTATAATATTTCCTTTTGGTTGTTGAGCTGTTATGCAACAAAGCTGTTATGTTAATCAGTTTTTTCCATAGTAGACAGAAATATGAAACCATTTTACACCCTTTCAGAATGCTGAACTTGAGAAGAATAATTATACCTCCTCAAGCTACAAGTTTCTGTAAAAGAAAACAGGCCATTGCTTCATGAGTCATTCTTTATAACAGGAAATATTGGAAGCAGTCATCAATAGATAATATGTGTACTTTTGCTCTTTTTACTCCACCTGTCACATGGCTCACACACAGCAAAAGGCTGCATTTTCAAAGTTGTGAATGATTAATATCGATAAGAATGTACTTTGTGGCATTTGTGAAGCCTTAATTGTCTATAATCTTGAAATAATCTAAGTAACTTATTGAAGATCTCTTTAAAACAAACCACTAACAAACTTTGGTGTTGATATATAAGTGTAATTTGAATGGTTATTTTGGTCATTTGATGTTTTAATTGACAAAACAACTTTGAGTCTGTGCAACTTTTACCTTTAAATTCAACACAGTAAACATTTGCAGTGCTTGAAATACTATTTTCATACTGCTCATACTACTGTACAATAGAAAGGAATTCAGAATACATATGCTGTGGATAGCATGAACATTTTAAGTATACATGTGATAACCCAATGACATAGATTCAATATTTTGCTTGAGCTAACTAGCTGGGATATTACATCCTGCAGTAAATGTGTCTGTTTTCAAACTTTTGTTTCAGTACCCTTTTTTATAGTCCATTACAGTGCTATTTCCTTACAGCATTAATGAAGACGAGATGTAGATTTACAATCTATATATCAATATACACACACACAATGAAATTTGACATAATGTAAATAATATACACTTTCTGAAAAAAGGTACCAAACGTGCGGTACCATTTCAAAAGATACTAACATGTAATATTTATAATACTAATATGTTAAATACTAAACAGCTTTGTACCTTTTGTCTTAAAGTGTATGCATTTGGATATTAATATGCAAGAGCAGACTGTGCAAATACAGAGGTCAAGTATCTGCCATAACACAGAGTGTGTACAGTGTTTAATTGGGCGATGAGTATATGCAATATTTGTTCAAGGAAGGCAACAGTTGTAGTGCAAGTGGGAGTTCAAGTGTACCACTGGGACTCCGAGCAAGAAGTAAACAAGGGTGTAAAGCTCTGACTGATTGTTTAGTCATGTTAAAAGCTGAGCTGTAGTGGAACAGCACTCTCGGGTTACTTTTTTATTGTAAGAGGACTTTGTGAATGCTAGTGGAGATGGCATTCTCTGTGCACCTGTTACAGCAGGAAGTAAACCGTATTATGAGCCATGATAATAATGATGAAGCATTTTATTCATTTAAACGGCGTTTTTCTTGTTTTTAAGAGCAGGATCAACAGCAGTTGTCTTTAAACATTTTGAGATAATGGCTCAGGCAAGGGATAATCGAAAGGGATGTCAGAAACTTCCATGACACCTTGAAATATGAGTATTAATGATAATGTTTACCTAGTGTTGCCTTTGCTCTGTTTCTGAATATAATATCTATCCGGTTTTGACAATGTAGTACTGATTCTTATAGGAGGAGGGAGACAAACCGTACTGTGGATTTAATGTGATGTCTGATGTAATCTGTCAAGACATACCAACAGTTAATCAGAATCTTGAATTAGTTAATCACATTGTACTACATTTGTAGAGAGAAACTTCAATGCATAAAACTATCTTTGCCCACTGTAGAATATCTTAAATGTAAATGTCTGAATATCTCCCAGAAATAAACAAATCGCTTACTTAAATCATCTGCTCTAAAGCCTAAACAAACTTTCTGTGTTGTTGTTGCTTAGAATTTGACATGGCTTTTCACCATTTAATTTCTTTTTATTTGCAAGGGAAAGAAATAAAAGCATGGGAGAGTACTGAATATACAGGCATTATTGTGAGGTGACTAATATCCATGTGCTCCTCCTGCTTCCTGCAAGCTATTATCAAACTGTAAACCCCAGCCTGTCTATTGTGATTATATTTGGTTGTCTACTGCCTCCATCTCTCCACACAAAAAGAGTCTGCATGTTTAATGAACTCCCAGTGTCAGTTTATGCAGATTCAATCCTTACTGATCTGAGTTCTTTACTTGGTGAGGTCTTTGATTGATACTGTGTAATTGTGCATACCTATTAAGTATTATACAGACTTTTACACAATATTCTGTCAGTTACTTTAATGGGAATGTGTCTTGTGAAAGATTATTGAATAAAGTTGAGATTAAGATGGGCCACCCTTACAAGATCTAGCTGTCAGTCAAAGAAATCTGAATTGCCTCAAGGAACTCTGCACCATTATCCGCTAAGATTCAACACAAAGATTCAGACTGTGACAGGGACTAACATTCTTCGGTCTGCCTTGTTAGCCACAGCCAAAACACCTCCAGGCTCAGCGAGGGGGAGCACAAAAAAAATTAAAAACCTGTAAAAATTAAAAAGTACTTGATACACCATTTGGGGATCCCTCAGATTATCACACTGCCAGAACCCTCTGAAAAAACTCTATTTAAGACACTTAGAATGTATAATGCAATCTCTTACACAGTATTTGAGGCACCTTTAAAACGGTTCTGCCACAGTTGCAGTCCGAGGAAACGCAAATTGTTTGTCAATTATCTTTAAATGTTTATTTCAATGTATTTAAACATGTTTATTTCATTATATTAATTTATTTTAAAATGTTTATTTACATTTATTTTCAAATATATTTACTTAAATTAACTTTCAAATGTTTATTTAAATGTAAGTGTTTATTTAAAAACTAAATATATTTATTTACATTTACTTTTAAGTGTATTTAAATTTATTTTTAAATGCATTTATTTAAAATAATTTATTTAAACATTTACATTTGATATATTTTTGTACATTTTATATTTACATTTTTATATTTGTGTTTTACAATATGAAACATCTTTCTAACATATTCAAGTTTCAGTGCTTAAAAATGTTTATTTACATTTATTTTCAAATATATTTACTTAAATTAACTTTCAAATGTTTATTTAAATGTGTTTATTTAAAAACTAAATATATTTATTTACATTTACTTTTAAGTGTATTTAAATTTATTTTTAAATGCATTTATTTAAAATAATTTATTTAAACATTTACATTTGATATATTTTTGTACATTTTATATTTACATTTTTATATTTGTGTTTTACAATATGAAACATCTTTCTAACATATTCAAGTTTCAGTGCTTGACATATAAAATAATTTAATATTAATGTGTACTGAATTTTAAGAATAGGCTTCATTATAATTCAGTAAAATGAGAGACTGCACTGTATTGTTAGGTTCTTCTGTTATTTTGTCCACCTCCTGTAGGCAATATGTAAAAACTCTCCCACCTTCTATCTGAAGCAAGTGGAGATTCTGAGGAGGAGGAGGGTGTGTGTGTGTGTGT